ACCAGTCCTTTTAGCACTAATATTTGACTCTAGTAACAATTCTTTCCTCAAATCCTTTCCAGCTTTTTCTGACATCCCTAGTTCCTGTCCCTCCACTTTGAGCATACCTTCCCAAGGAACAGTCATACACATTTCCCTTTAGCTGCTTTTCAAGACCTATGCTATCCCAGCTAAAGATGGTCAGTCTTTATGCCTGTAGTAGTGTATGACTATTACTTCCTTAAATCCACACGGTAGCTAACAGTGAGCTCCATATGTGTACTGGACTTCTTCACAAGCATTTAACATGTCCACTCTGTCACTAACAGTGAGCTCTGTATGTGTACTGGACACTTCACAAGCATGTCCCATGTCTTCAGTTCTGAAACCTTTTCCTGTGTTACTTGTTTGAGCAACTTTACTTATTTCTTCTTATTCCTTTATCCACTATACTAAATGGCACCTTCTATCTTGATTGTATTCCAAGCTAGAAATATTTGAGTCATAACAATTTGTTCATACCTAGTAAATCATCGAGACACCCCCTCCCCAACACACACACAGTCTAGTATTTATCCCAAGGCTAGCTTTGAACTCAGAATCCTTAGGACCACAACTGTGTACCACCACACCGGGTGTAAGGCTTGCTACTCCTCATCAAATCTGTTATATATGCTCTATTTTTCTTGTCTTAATTCAGATCAAGCCCTTTCTATCAAATAACTACCTCTCTTAAAACACTCCAGAGCCCTCCAGAGGCTCCATCTTTCAGTTTCTCAACCAGAACATATCTGAATAAGATAAAGCTTACAATAATCTTGTCGAGCAGGCTGGGAAGGTGGGGAAAAGGGAAGGGAAGACCACAGGAATGTTAAGCTAGCACATTTGTTGTTCTCGATAATTTCACTTTCCCTGTGACCCTAAAAGGTATTTCCAACCTGCAGCCTTCCACATATACGCCCAGATAAGGAAGAATGTGGTCCAAACTGTAAACTCATTTAACATAAGATTTTTTCGGAGCATTTTTTGTTTTGTTTTGTTAACTCAATTGCATAATTTTCTAATGCTAATTTATACACGACAATTTGGTATTGCAATGTCCAAGGGCTGGACATGCCTGCAAGAGATGCAAGGGGAAATCAGTGTACAATAATCATTATGGCCCTACAGAAAATATAATTAGATATAGTAAGACTCTTCACAGAGTGGCAGAGGAAAAGGAGGAATCACCACCACCCCTCCTCACAGTCCAAGCCCTGTCTAACTGTCTCAGGCATCACCTTCTGTCTGCATTATATATTAGCTCTCTGGTCCTCAAGACATGGTTCAAGGACGCCTCTTTGTCAGTCAACTTCAGGGGATGTGTATGGAGTAAAACCAAACTCTGGGGGCTGGAGAATTGTCTCAGACTCCATAAGGGCATGGGCTATTATTCTATAGCTTCCATACCACAACTCACCATTACATAGTACCAAAGGATTAACACCCTCTATTGGGCTCTTCTGGGCATCAGGTATGCACATGGTAGGTACACTGACATACAAATAACACAGAAATAGCCCATACACATAAATAAATAAAAAACCTGTCAAATACCAATGAGTACCATCATCTTAGTCTAAAAGTTGAGAGCAAAGACCAAGTTCCAGACAGGTCACAAATTATTTATTTTGTTAACAAAATTAGCATGTCAGGAACCATCTTGGTGCCTAAGTTTCTTCTTTTGAGACAATGGGCACCTCAGGCCAAGACCAAGAACAAACAAAACTACAGTTAATTCCCTCTTTCCTCTATCTTTTAAGACAAGATCTCACTCTCATATAAACTAGGCTTGTCTGAACTCACAACCTCCTGCTTCAGCTCCTGACTGTTGGCACCACTATATGCCTACTGAGGTAGACTTATTTTTCTATCAATAGTAATTAAAACATTCACTCCAGACATGGTGGCAAATATTTATGGTACTTGAACGGTACAGGCTAGAGAATCCAGAGTTCAAAGTCAGCCTTAAAAACATAGCAAGTTCAAGGCTAGTCCAGGCTATATGAGGTCTAGACTCAAAAATGCCCCAAATAAAAAAATTCTAACCAAACAAGATACAACTCCTAAACCATTAAATAAAATCAATATAATTCAATATTTACAACAGATATACATTACTGACAGTTGGCTGTACTAAATACTTTTTATAGTTGTAAACATATATAAATGTATCCTGACTCAATACTTCCTGTACAGAGATACTAGACAATAAACAATGTAGAGGCTTTATTCGTATTAAGTATTTAATAGAAAATACAATAGATTAAACATTTAACTATAAGCAAATGGTAAACTATAACAGTCACATTGTCACACAGCTACTGAAATTATTCCTAGAAAGTTGTAATTAATAAAAGACACCAAAATCTAAGTTTAAAAAACCTAAAAAGACAAGAATGTAACAGAGGTAAGGCAGGCTCATACCTTTAATGTCAGTATTAGGGACAGTCTGGGTCACAAAATGAGTTCAGCTTTCTGTCCTTCAATAAAAAAAGCACCCCCCCAACTACTTACAAAGGCATGTATATTTATTGTGACACCTTACAAATATAAACATAGGGAAAATAATGGAAATAGCTCCATGCTTGAAACAGGGCCACAATATGAATGACCAATCCATTTTCCCAAGTATAAGCACTACTATACTGGTTACTACTGTTAATATTTACTGTTCTATAATTTCCAATTTTGAAACTGCATTACTTTATAATGAAACAGTTGTAATAGTGATAATATCTCTTAAGACTCAGTTCTACAATGCTAAGATTTTAAAATGGAGTTTTTATCCACATCAGAATTTAAGAATAACAAGTCAGAATTTATCGGATCTTCTTTGATTCTCTTTCCACAACAGATAGTTCCTTTCCAGCCTTCTAGTCAAGGGGGGGGGGGGAGTCAACTGCCAACAGTCTTAATTATTGCTGTTGCTTATCAAGCCAGGAAATAAAAGAAAACAAACACTATAAAAATAGCTTTAGTCATCAAATCTCTAATACAGAATTACCTAGCTATACTTTGGTATTACAGAAGAATGGCAACAGATTTGGTTCTTGTGAAATGACATCTTCAATAGGAATCCCCAACTCACCTCCAAAGCAAGAGCCCCAAAGCTATATCCCCAGTCCAAAAGTTCAGAGATGGGGCAACTGTCTGAATGGCCTGCATCACCAAACAATGCCCCTTGAAGAGTGTCCCTGAACAGCAACATGACAAACATGCAAACAATGAACAGCCATAACCAAGAAAGGCTGAAAGCCATTAGTTTCAAACATCCTAAATAAACTGTTTTCTTCTACATTTCCTATAGGGTAGTAAAAAGACTCTGTCCAATTTTGTACATGACATCATTCAAAAGTCTTGATGGCAGGAAGGGGAAATTATACTTTAATCTTTAGAGATCAAAAGTCCCTTTTCCAAACACTACCTACATAACAATAAATAACATAAAATAAAGATAATTGGGTTATTTAATCTACACTTTTCAGTAGTCATTATATATTAAAATCTTATTCTTTTCTATTTTTATAATTCTATTTTTATAATTTGGAGATTGAAATCCCAAAGCTCCATAATAGTATTAATATAGTGACAACTTTAACACTAAAGTCTTAATAGATAGAAATCTCTATACGAAAACCTACTTCTGCACTAAAAGTCACTTACTTCATCTGCATTGTTAAATTAAAAACTTGCCAACGTTTCGTGTCCACTCATTTCTATAGACCTCAACGTATTTCAGACTTAACTGATTTTTCTTTTGAAGTGCACCTTGTCCAGGAGCAAATTTTTCCCTAGTTCATTTCCCAAGCCCGGCGAGCAGGAGCGAAGGACTTCCCAAGTCCCATTTCCCTTTTCCATTCCCCAGACCTCCAGGGTTTCCAACGCCCCAGTCTTGCGCAACATCCGTAGGAGCAGCAGCCGCAACCACCGCCTCCTAAGCCGGGAAACAACCCTAGAGGGAACATTGTCCGCAGAAAAATAAAAGGAGCGGGGAGGGGGTAACTTAGGAAGTCGGCTCCTGGTCTCACGCCTTCGGAATTGACAACCCCCCCCCCCAATGACATACCTAGAGCAATTTCACCTACTAGACTTTTAACCCTCACCTCCACTCAAGCCTGCCCACACAAGCAGAGTGCGGAAAAGGGGGGTGGCGGAAAAGGGGGGACGGGAAGGTTATCTCCCAGTTCAGGGCTTCAGCCCGCGTAGTCGCCTCCACCCCACCAGGACTATTGTTCCCAAGTTCCCCACCCCCACCCCGGATAGGAAGTGATAGTCACATCCCCTCCGGTCTCGGCAATATCCCCTAGAGTCCGGAGTCAGCTTCCTTCAGGATAACCCCCATCCACAGCGACCCCCCCCCCAACCCCATCACCCAAAGTCACACTGGCCTCACGGGAAACCGCACGGGATAAATGAAGATCAGGTAAACCACGAGCTGTCTCACGGACAAGCCTGTGGCGAGAGGCGATAATAACCGTGAACTCGCAGACCGCGCCGTCCCACCGTCCATTCGGACGGAGGCCGGCGGCATCGGCAAAGGGAACTGTGCGAGCCGACGCTACCACCACCCTCGCTGCCCGCCAACCTCGAGCCGCTCGGCCGGCCGCAGCCCGACAGCTCGCCTCGACCCTCCCCGGAGGGACCGGCGGGGAAGGCAGGCGTGGGAAGGCGAGCCCGCAGCCCGCCGCCGCCGCCCGGCCGGCCCGGAGACAATAGGGAGTGGCGGGGCCGGAGCGGGCTGGGCCCGGCGGCCGCTCCTCCGCTCCCGGGCCGGCTGGGCGGGCGGGCGCAGCACGGGCCGCGCAGCCCCGCGGAACAAGGAGGCTGAGGGGCGGGGGGCGACCTCGCCTCCCGCCTGGGCGCGCGCCCCGCGCCAGTCCTCGGCACCGCACACAAAGCGCTGGCAGCCCCGGGCCGGCCGGGAGAGGCTCGGGGGCCGGCGGCACGAGGCGAGGGCGAGGGCGAGGGCGGACACTCACCATGAAGTCCCGGGCGAAGTTGTCCTCCCCGTTGTGGTCCGGACTCTTCATGGCCTGTACCCTCTGGATGAACCTCCGCAGGATCTCCACTTGCTCCATCCTCCCGCGTCCCCCCCGCCGTCCGCCCGCGCGCCGCAGCGTCCGCTCCGTCTTCCCCAGCTCGCTCTGGCCCGTCCGCCCGCCCGCCCTCCCTCCCGGCCGCGCGAGGCGGCTGCGGCGGCACCGGCCGGCTCCCCGCGCAACTTGAAGAGCAGCGCGGCTTCCCTGTCTGCTAGCGAGCCGCGGGCTAGCGCCGGCCCCAGCCGCCGGCCTGCCCCATCCTCCTTCCCCGCCCTCCTCAGTCCCAGCCGCCGCCGCCGCCTCAGGAACGCCGCGCTCCGTCCGCCCTGCCCCCTTCCCGGTTCCTCCTCCCCCCCCCCCCGCCGGCAGCCGCAGCCGCCTCTCCCCACGGGCGCGCCCCCGCCGCCGCCCAGACGCGCGGGCCCGTGCGGCGGCCCCGCCCCACGAGCGACGAGCCAGCCGCCCCCGCTCGCCGGCCCGCTCTGAGTGGCTGGAAGCCGCTTCCGGGGCGTGTCCCCCGGGCGCTGGCCGCTCTCAGCGCCGAGGCTTCCTTCTAGTGGCCTCCGTGCCTGTTTGGGCGCCGCCGAGCCCACTGGGTCGGACAGTAAACTTCACTTGGGACCTGCGCACACCACCCTCCACCCAAGGCGGGGAGGGAAAGCCGACCCCACAGGGCCCCCGCTCCCGCCAGCCCGGCCGGGACGACAAGACCCCGCCCGCCGGAGTGCCCGGAGTCGGGTGGGACAGAGGTATGCTGGGAACTGTAGTAAGAGTCATCCACCTTCTCTGCCCGTAGGCGCTCTCCTGGCTAAAGGCGTGGTGAAGGGCACCCGAGGCGTTCTTGGATGAAAGGGCTTACTCTTTGCAAATCCATTTTAACCCCAGTGAGTGAAAGCTTGAAATTCAGAGTGCGTCCTTCACGACACACCACACACACACACACACACACACACACACACACACACACACACACACACCACACACACGGTAGGAACCCTGTTTGCCAAGTTGGAGACAATATATCTTTCCTCCTTTAAATTGGCACTGTTTCAGAGTAGAATGGGAGACCTTCGTTCGCAGGATAGAATCTGTTACTCTTACCAGAGAACACGCTGCAGTGATCTGCCCTTTCACAAATAAAGTGATTTGCCCAAAGTCCACCCCAACCCCCCAGCGTATTCGTGTAGGGTTCTTTCACTTGGACTCCAAGCAACACACTGCCTCTCGAAGGGACAAGATTTTGTGGTGGTAATATTGCACAACTGGTGTTTGATCCACGGACTGATTTTGGTCACTACACGCACAAACAGAGCAGGTTGCCGAGAAATTTGCTTAAGATAGGAAACATCAATGCAGGATACATTTCCTAATGTTTGGCTGCACTATGAACTTTAATTTTAAAAAGTTAACGACAACAAATGTGAGTAGCAATATACAATGCCATTTTAAAATAATACAGAAAATAATACAGAAAATAATACACCTAATACATGCCAATCCATTTCTCTCAGAAATATGTCCTTGCACATGTGTCCTTCCAAATTGTCCCCTATTCCCTACACTTTTTGTTTCTCCCCCCCCCCTTTTTTTTTTTTTTTTTTTTGTTTGTTTTGTTTTGTTTTTCAAGACAGCGTGTCTCTGTGTAACTGCCCTGGTTGTCCTGAAACTTACTCTGTAGACCAGGCTGGCTTTGAACTCACAGAGATCATTTGTCTCTGTTAGGATTAAAGGCATCCACCACCACCACCCAGCTGCACTTTTTATTTATGTGTGTACCTGTAAAGAGAGTTTTGCTTTGGTTTGACTCTTAAAAGTCTCTGTAGGTAACTCAAAGAGGCCAGTTCCTCCACCGCCTCTTATTTCAGCCTTTCAAGTGCTAGGATTACAGATGACTGTCACATTGCCTGTCAAGAGATACACTTTTGCTGTGTAGCTAAACTTTCAGGAGCTGGGGATGGGTAAGGCAATACCCCTGTCAGGATGGTGAAGTAACTGAGCCTGAGGCCGCCAGGATGAGATCCTGTCTCATAAAACTGGATCACTTCAAGGAGTACTTTCATTTCTAAAATAAACTTTTGAAAGAGTGTAATTTAACCCACTACAAAGGCTGTAGCAAAAGAATCCAGACTTGAAGGCAACAAAATAGGTAGATGGCCAGACACACCTTCACTTTTGTTTATTTTTTATAGTTTGGTTTCTCTGAGGCAGGATCTCACTCTATAACCCAGACTGGCCATGAACCCATAGCTGTCTTCCTTTCTCAGCCTTGAAGGTGCTGGGGATACATACAGGCTTGGGCTGCTGTGACTACCACCTACACTTTTGATATGTCCAAAGAATGTGATACTTTGTTTAAGATCAGATAAAGCTTATCTGAAGATCAGAGTGCAAAGCCAGCCACACTAGTTAGCCACAGAGGCCAGGTGGTGGTGGAGTATAAGAGAGGAGTATAAGACAGGAGCTCAGGGTCCCAGTCTGTATTCATTCTTCAGTCGCCCCAGCCTTGGTAGTGGTTAAGAATGTTCTACTGGCTGGCTGCTTTGCTTTTCTGATCTTCACCTTGAACTCAGATATCTGTCTCTGGGTTTTTATTCTTAGTGCTGCACCAGTTAGTGGTTGGTGACCACTCTCTGGACCTGCTTTAGAAGAGTTGCTGGCAGTCTGATGGGTACAGACCAAGTCTGATTTGGGCCTCTGTTTTCCACATGACAAAGCCTGTGTAATGCCTGAGGGTTTCTGGAGTTTACAGCAGCCACTTTTGGCATTGTCTGTGGGTTAGTGAAAATCTAAGTGTCTCTGAAGGATCCCACTATGTGGAAAGGCTTAGCTTTCCTTGATAATTAGCTGGCTACTTCTTTTTAGCTTTTCTTACCATTAGAAATTGTACAAAATAATGAGTTTCATTAAGATAGATTCACACATGCATGTCATATTCTTTGCTCATATTCATCCTTCCGTTGTCCTTTCATGTCCTCCTTCCTTTTTGTCCTTGCTCCTCCCAGGTTTCCCTCTTCTGAATATACCTGGGAGGTCATCAAATGACTCAGTGCTTTCCACCAAGCCTGATGGCCTGTTTGTTCCCAGGATGAAGAGAAGCTTCCTCAAGTTGACATCCATGCACCCACCCCTGCCATACACAAATAAATGAGAAAAAAAAAAAAAAAAAAAAAAAAAAAAAAAAAAAAAACCAGAATAGTCTAAATATATTTGGGTCGTGTTTCAACTTCTGTGTTTGTGTGTGTGTGTGTGTTTGTTTGTGTGTGTGTGTGTGTGAGTGTGATAGAGAGAGAGAGAGAGAGAGAGAGAGAGAGAGAGAGAGAGAGAGGTAGGTAGGTATACAGGTGCCCTTAGAGGCCAAAAGAGGATGTCAGATTGCCTGGAACAAGAGTTACAACCAATTGTCAGATGTCACTGTGAGTGCTGACAGCTGAATACAGGTCCCCTGGAAGAGCAACAAGTGTTCCTACTGAATGAGTCATCTCTCTAGACCTGTATCTTTATTTATTTTTAGTATTTGGTTTCTGATACAAGGTCTCAATAGTGAGACCTCAACCTTGCTATGTAGGCAGACTGGTCTCAAATGCGTAGTCCTTCTGCCTCACCTTCCCAAATACTGAGATTGTAAGTGTGCAACACGATGTCCAAGAGTGTAGGTCCTTTTGTATTCTGAATATTTTGCTGTTCAAGTGTATTGATTTTCCAACAAAATTAAATATTATTCTAGGTGGTAGGAAGAATGCCAGCATCTTTTATGAAACAGGTAAATAAAGAGTTAAGGAAACAGGTCTTGTTTGGGGGAAGTTGAACTTTTAGAGATAAGGTTTCACATAGCCTAGGCAGGCCCTAAACTTGCTATGCACATAAAGATAGTCATGAATTTCTGATCCTCCTGCCTCCACCTCCCAAGTGCTGGTATTATAGCATTTACTCCCATGCTCTGCTGTGTTTTTGTTTTTGTTTTATGACAGATGGGAAGCTACAGGCAGTATCATGGTTTTCAGGGAAATTTAATGCCTTGACCATTCTCAGCTATACCTGAGTGTTTGGGCACTTAAGTTATTACTCAAGTTTTCAATCCATAGAAACTGGCCATTGACCTGTGACTTGGTATAGAAGGGTGATCTGAGCCAGTTGCTTCACATAGAAATCTGAACTTGGAAACCAAGACAGATGTTACCAGAATAATGCAGGCAGGAATGTATGCTGCTATGAGGGAGGATTAGGTTTTGGCAAGCTGAAGCCAAGAGGTGGGAGAGAAGATGATGATGACAAAGAATCTGGTTAGTAGAGAGCATGAAGCAAACGTGTGGCGGTGTGTGGAGGTATTAGGATGCAGCCCATGTGGTCACCAGGGAGAACTCTTGGAGCAACCTGGCTTCTGATACTTTTGGGAATAAGTTTTGTTGATTTTATACATAAATAAATCCAGCTTTTCTTGAAACAATAGGCAGTGCTATAGAGCACGGGCTCTCAAGTCAGAGAGATTGCTCTGCCGCTGACATCTGTAAGTCTTCCCCTAGGAAAGCCACTTGGTGGCCCTAAACTGCATTTATTATTTCTGTACTATACATCATGCTTGCACATAGAACACAAAATAAGAAACTAGTTCAACATGGTGGTTTCTGCATTTTAAATTTCTTCCCTCCTATCTTGTCACTTTTAGCTCTTTTCCTACATACTAGCTGCCTACACTGTAGGGACATACATGAGGAATTAGAAGGGAGCCAAATAGCATTTTTTAAAAGTGATGGTACTTTCATGATTTCAGCAAGAAGAGGTTTTGAAAAGTTAATAACCTGAAAGAGGTTTCTGGGGTATCTGTTTGTTCATATTCATGCTATCCTCTCATGGTTCACTTGTAGAAATTTTAACTTGTGACTCTATCTGTTCTCATAACAGCCATGGATATTACATCTTCTATAGCATTTAGAACATATAGCATTTGTAAGTTCTATTTTCTTCTTTTTCTTTTAAAACAGTCTTGGGAAGCAATTTGGTGCCACTAATCTCATTAGTAGAAGGAAAGCTAAGTAAAACACAGGGAGTGAACACGAAGAGCTCCCTTGAAGTAACAAACAGGAGACTCATGAACATGACCCATAGGTCCTGAGTTTCCAGCC